AGTTTATGCTTGTGTTTTGTTGCCTTTTTTTTTTTTTTTTTTTTTTGGTGAATGTGGAGGCCTCTGGAGAATTTATTCTTGCTGGTGGCAGTCTTGCTTTCCTTAGTTGACTTTTGTACATCTGTTAGGAGTAGCCCCTTAGGCTCAGTTTTGAGAACTACCTCATGAAAGGCTATGAAGAAATAATCTGAGATAATTATGAATCTTGCTGTTGTTTCTTGTGTGCTTTTTTCTCCTCTCCCTTTCCTTGCATTTGTTCTCAGAATCTTTGCAGTTTTGTGCTGTTCTCTCTTGTTTTCTCAGCCTGGATGGACTTATATATTTCCTTCAGCTCTGTTCCACAGCCGCCTCCCTCCCTGCCTGCCTCCCTCCCTCCCTTTGCATTGTCTCTGCTTGCCACAGCACGCTATTCTGATGATAAGTGTGCTGGCAGAAAAGCGACACTTGCTGAACTCCCCGGGTGAAATCCTGGTCTCATTGAAGTTGGTGGCAAAATTCCCACTGACTTCAGCGTGTCCAGGGTTTCACCCTTCAGCTTTGAAGTGTTCAGTGCTTCTGAGAGCCAGCACTTCTGTAAGCTCCGCTTTGCTCCGGGCAGTCTGATTGCATCAGAAATTAGAGCAGAAAGAATGGTGTCACAGGGCCACTGGCCTGGGAAGGAGTTTTTTTGGCTGTCAGGTGCTGCATTAGCTTTGCTTCTGAGGGAGTTTTGCAGCAAATTTATCTGAGAGCCTGAGTTACTTTGGCTCTCAGATTCAGCAAGTTTTGTGTCCCATTTTATATTTTTAGTCTTTAGTCGTCTTTTCAGTTGACATTTGATTGCTTTAATTCAAATCACTTAGAAGTGCATAATCCCCTGGCCAGCTGTGCTTGTTTTGTTTTGTGAGGAAGTTTACTTTGTGGCTTATTTTTCATTTCTTGATTGGAGCCTCACAGGACTGGTAATTGGATTGTTTAAAACATTTAATTATATTTCATTACCTGCATTCACCCTTTCCTTCATATGGTAATATTATTCTTTATTTTTTAATGTTGGCAGTTTTTCTGAATATGTCAAGACAAGTGTTAAGAAAAATGTCATGATTTTATGCTATTTTTATGACAAAACTAGAGTGGGAACGGAAACATACTGAGACAGAAGTGGGGTAATATGTGTGCGTTGGGAGGGAGAAGAGGTTTCAAGATGTGCAGTGTGGTAAGGCAAATCACATTTGGTAATACTCGCAGAAGTATAATTAACCATCAGGTTCACTGTTTCCCTAAAATACTTCCCAAAAATCTCAGGGAATCTATTGAGATGTCAGGTGTGAATAGCGTAGGACAGAAGTTGCTGTCCTGGGGAGGCTTGCCTCATTGCCACTCTCTGTAGATCTGGTTCTTTCTCAGCCATGTGCAGCAGTTGGCTGGAGCTAACGTAAACCAGTGTGGCCTTTGGTTTGGGCCCGGGAGGTTGTGTCACGTCGCCCCCTCGGCAGCCCAGTCAGGGACTCCAGGATCACTGCCCGGATAATCTGTCTTTTCCTTTGTGACTCTTCAGCATGGAGCCGGGTGGACGCTGACTCTGTCCACCACAGACTGAGAAATCTGCAGAGCAACTTTTCTTAAGATGTTGCTGATCATCTCCTTGTCCAGTGGTGCTTATCTTCTGTCACCTGGTTGCTTTTTAACCCTTTCCTTTGAACGTGGCATTGAATAGTTAAAAATTTGTGGTTGTGGAGGTGAGGAGCACTGGGAGCAGGTCTGTAGCCTACAGCTGCCTTGCCTTACAGGGAGAGCAGGGTTGGGTAGAACTGGAAGACGAGTAAACAAGTGGAGGCTTGTAGTTCTGATACCTGCAATAACACCCTTTGCTCTCTGCGGTGCTGACGGGCAGCGGCCAGCCAAGCTGAAGCTGCCACAACAGTACTGCAGCATGCCCCCTACAAGAGTGAAGCTCTTTTTATTTCATTCTGTGGCTTGTTGAAGACAGCGTCGCTGCTTGTTTATGGCTGCTAACCCAAAAGGTGCCAAACATCCTGCTTGTGTTAGAGGTGGATGCCTTAGTAAAGGCAAAGTAAAATTACAGGTATAATGCAGAGGTGTCTGTAGCTGATTGAATGACAAGCACCTGTGCTGAACAGGGAACTGCCACCAGAATTCCAGTTTGGGTCTTCTTTTATTTGATCTTTTGGGTTATTATTTTAAATACTTGCACAAAGAGTCATCTCCTTAGAATTTCCTCTTGTGGATGGTCATGGTAGAGTCACGCCTTGATTTCTACCACAGGGAATTTCTAGAATGTCTTTGGATTAGTCAGAGCTCCGATATTTAAACCCTGAAAAACCTGGCAGCAGAAATGAGTCTTCATTGTGCTGCTGTTTTAAGAATCAAAGCTTCTGCAGCTTTTATTGCAGCCAAAACTGAGGTAAAAGTGGTTAGCACCTTTTAGCATCATGTCTCCGCTGCAGGGGGAGCGCCAGGACTGGTAGTGGAGTTAGCTGGAAGTAATTTTTATCAGTATTTGAACCTGCAGCCACCACTTTCACTGTGATGAAGCTAAACTTGTGTCCTGCAGTGGGCTGGGTTAGTTCGCTGTTGATACAGTGACCTTGTTACTCACTGTGCTCCATGGTTACCCTGAAGCTGTGAATCATAGAGTGTAAATATCAAATGTCAGTGTCTCTATTTTTCTCTCTTGGTCACTCTCTTTGCAGGTGTTCAGAACGGACCTGATCACTGCCATGAAGTTACATGACTCCTTCCAGCTGAACCCTGATGAATACTATGTGCTGGCAGACCCCTGGAGGCAGGAGTGGGAAAAGGGAGTTCAGGTGCCAGTTAGCCCAGGGACCATCCCAGAACCCGTAGCCAGGTATAGTTTGGAGGAATGTAAACAAATACACATACGTTTATGCTAGCAGCTTATGTCTACGTTGCCTTGGCTTCTTGAGCTTTATTCCACAGTGTCTAGCTAGAAAGGTCTTGGTGCTCAGAGGCAGAGAGCAACCTGCCTCAGCTTTTTGAATGGTTGGAGGGGTCAAGAGTCAGGCCCGTTCTGACTGTGTGTTGAAATATGAATGTCAGAGAATAATTTTTGGCATTACATTAGGGTGGAGTGTGATGACAGAACCTTAAAAATAGCTTCTATGTTTAAGCCCAGACTTGACCTCACTCAGCATTTCTGGGAGAGCCCTTGTCTGCTGTTTCTTACGCTTAGTTCCAAGCCATAGGTTCCTTTCAAGGAACAGTCACACAAGCCAGATTTAAGGGCTAGAGAAAATACATCATTTATTTATTTTGGTTATATTTTTGGTTGGTTTCATTTACTAACTTAGGAAAATTGTTTGTTGTACAACATTTCGTTTTAAGAATCATCTAGATGTGAATATAACTAAATAAATTAATGTGAGATTTTCTAGCTCTTACCCAAGAAACCCTTATTTTCCTTACCTTGTTTGTTACACTTACTGGTTTTTATTTTAGATTAAACAGTACAGTTGTAAGGGCAGGAGCATGCTGCAGCCAATCTATTTTATACTTAGTTGGAACTGGAGTTGGAGAAAGTGGGAAGAAGAAGGATTATTGCCATTTAATCATACTAGATCTCTTTGTGTAAGTCTAGGCTGGCTCATAAGGTGTTACAAAATGACCCACCAGTGCTGGTGGAGCTGAAACAGCCCAATCTCTGATACATAGCAAAAAATTTTGGGTGGTGCTATACTGCTTCTGTTAGGTCTGCATCTCCCAGCTTTCACCTTGGAGTAGGGGACTATAGGAATGTTTGTTAGCCCCTTGTGTGTGCTGTGCAGCAGCCTGCAGACCGCTGTACAGCCACACTAGGTCTGTACAATGAGGAACTTAGCCGCACATCAGGTAGACCCTTTCCTTCCCTCTCCTTCTGAAGGATTGGATCTGGAGCTCCAAGGAGAACGTGGTGTTTTCCTCTCTGCTGTGCAGTTTAGAACATGGGAGTGTACCGTTTCCCTGCAGCGCTTGTAGCCTGTTCCACACTGACCTCACCCAGTCCCTTCATAAACGCACACACGTTGTATGTACATCGGTGCACACACTGTCGTCTCCCCACTGCTTTCTCTTTCAAGCATCTCCCAAGGCTGCAGGAGGGCCAGGAGACCTGTGGACTTCAGCAGAGGGAGACTTTCCAGGGGATCCCCACCCTGTGTCTTTCAGGGAGGTGGTTTGGTGGCTGTATCAGCTCCAGGTGCTCACTTAGGAGAGAGCTTTTCTCTGCCAATGGCCAACAGAGATGTGGGTCCAAATTTAAGATATAAAAGGAGTTAGAGAAAAAAGGTGCCCACTGCTGAGCACCTGCTGGTCACAGTGTCCCTCTGATACCTGATTATTACCCTGTTTGCTCCCTCACATAACACTTGGAGAGCTCAGCTGTGGTGGTGCTAGAGTGCTGGAACTGTTGTGCCTGGCTTTGGGAGGGGAGGGAGGTGTTCTGCAAATGGAATCAGCAGTAGACAAATAGTAGCTGGTGTAGAATAGAAGACAAATACAGTACAGATAGCTGATGCTAATGAGGTACATAATAGGGAATAGCTTTTGGCCTTGTAGCAACTGGTCAGGGCAGCAAGAGTAGGTCCAGAGGGGTGGAGCGAGCAAGTCTTTGTGGTGATTCAGCGCAAGCCTGCAGTCAGATGGGTAATTCAGTTGGATGTGGTTTTTGGTATGTAGTAAGTGTTGCTTTTTTTAACTTCTTTCTCTCATAAAAGTAAATAGATGAAGGTAATTTGTTCTGAAGCCAAGCTGTCTGTGCTTCCTCCTTCTGTGCCACTACAGTGGTATTTAAACAGCGTGTACGGGGTGCTACCCAGAGATAATGACTTCTGCATGGAGAGGTACTGGGGAAGGAGTTTATGGTACAGGAGATTCAGAGAGCAGTGCCCAGTTGAAAGTAAATTTTCTGTGAGATGTAGTAGTCTGTGATATTTTAATACTGTGCAGTGTGACCCAGAACAGTTTGGGCAGTACAGTTAGCCTGGTGGGGTCATTCAGATTCATATTCTTCCACAGTCCCCTCCTGCACCTCAGAAGCCCCAAGTTCAACATTTGTCTCTTAACTGCCATTTCTCAGACTTGTTGAAATAAGCTAAGTGAGGGGAGGGTGCAGGAGGCTGATATAGGTAGTTCTGAGATCTGTGTGTGCAGATACAGTGGAGACAGACCAGGGTCTTCTGGTAGGAGGAGTTAAGGACCTTGGATGAGGGCAAAACTGCGTGGAGGACGTCCTGATTGTTGTGGAGAACATCCTGATTGTTGTGGAGCTTCAGCTATTCCCAGCAGAAAGTTGTGTCTACATGGAGTGGTGCTATCTCCTCCCTTGTAGCACTAGAGCAGAAGAGAGTCACCAGCACTAGTGCTGCAGGAGACAATAATTTGGCAGCGTGGCCTGTCGCTCCTGAGGTATCAGTGTTACATCTTGAAGTGTGTTTCATCCAAACTGAATTTCAGTGTGCGCAGTTCACTAAGAGGAGGTGCAGTGTCCTCTACTGAGAGAACTGCGCTGCAGGTGGACTGCCAGAGGTATCTGGCTGTTTGGAGGCAAGTCACCAGCTTGCTGGTAGACTGAGAGCTGTCTGTTGTGAACGGGGCGGTTTTGCCCCCAGCTCCTGGCTTTGCAAACTTGCGGCATTGCAGGAATCTGACCTAGAACAAGTTACATGCTGTAGGTACTTTACCGTTTCCTGAACCAATGCCTGTGGTTGAACAAAATTTCAGTTGGCTTGCAGCTAAATAGTTGGTTGTTGGCCAGCTGAAGCCCTCAAAACCTGAGAGAAGGTAGTTTCAGCAGCAGCTGATTAGTATTTGTGCTTGGCTCAGCATGACATGACTGATTGTGAAAGAGGAAATGCAGACCTAGGATGCCAGAGCTTGGATCTGCTGGGTAAGTGAAGGTGAAGCTAGTGCAAGTTACTGATTCTCTGTGGAAAGGTCTTCTGAATTTCACAGAGATAGCACACACACATACCAAAAAGAAATCAGAAGTAACATACTGTAAGAAAGTAAACTTCAAATGTAGCTTTTTTTTTTTTTTTTTTTTTTTTTTTTTTTGATCTTGGTATTGAAATTAAACATCAATTAAAAAAAAAGTCTTAAAACAGGGTTTAACATCTGTGTACATGGCAGCCATCAGTACATAAATACAGTGTTCCTACTCTAGCTTTAAACAAGCGTGAGTACTCAGGTAAGAGTAAACACAGCTCTGGCCTTTAGTCTTAATTTTATTTAGAATTCTGGTTATGAATTGGGTTTTTAGGTAACTCTTAATTACCGCCAATCCATTATGGAAGTGCACTGTACTGTTTTCTCTTCCCATCTCTGGTGCAGGATGATTGCCTAGATGGTTAGGTGGTTGCCGATGATTGTTAGTCACTTAGAACGAGGCATTTTGAATTCTTTAGAAACAAGTCTCTCAGCAAGCCAGCATGCCTGACGTCTGCTTGTCTGTTTGTTTTAGGGTTGTGTCTGAGACGAAAGCTGTCACGTTCACACGTCCCAGGAAGTACATTGTTTCATCAGGTTCAGAGCCTCCAGAGCTGGGCTATGTTGACATTCGAACCTTAGCAGACAGCGTGTGTCGGTACGATCTCAATGATGTGGATGTAGCATGGTTGCAGCTTGCCAATGAAGAATTCAAAGAAATGGGTGAGTAATGAGTGCTTGTGTTTTGTTGCCTTTTTTTTTTTTTTTTTTTTTTTTTTTTTTTTTTTTTTTTTTTAAAGCTGCCAATCTTAAGAATACTTCTGGGGAGGGCAGCAGTGGCACGAGATGGTAGAGGTATGAAGAGAGAGTACTCGTACGAGCAGGGAATGAGTCACCTGCAGTGATTTATTGGAGGAATCTCCCAAAGCTCACTGTGACTGTGTGCTGCAGTTCCAAAGCAGGAAGAGGAGCTCTCACAAGGGGAGCAACTGTTCCCTTCTCCACAGGATGGCTTGTGGGTGGGAAGGGGTGAGGGAGCAAGGCAAGAGCAGGAATGTTTATTTGGAAAGGTGTGTGCTTCAGGAGAAGATTTCAGTGGAATTAAAGAGGATGTAAGTCAACACAGAACTTCTACCACATTGTTTAGGTAGGGGAAAAGATGCTGTGCCAGGTGGAAGAGGTTTGGACATGTTGGTGAACACTTTGATTTTTGTTTTAGCGTGGCAGTTCCCTGGTTTGGGTTACAGTTCAGCCATAGGTGTTTTACCTGGCTGTAGCCCATACATGGCATGGCTCAAGACCTGGCAAACCACAGTCTGACCATTTATATTTAAGAGTTTCTCCTTTTTTAACTCCCATATGGAGGAAACAGATGACTCAGCCTTGACTTGGTCTGTTACCCAAGCCTCATTTCCAGATCTCAAGTCAGGCCTGCTCAGGTTTAGTGTTAGGCTTAGACGATTTCAAAACAGTTCACAATTGGAGAGTTTAGGTTACCTTTCCAGTTACCTTCAGGGAAAGAGGGGCAGCAAGTCCCCTTAGGTTTCTTCAAAGAAAACTTAAAAATACTTTTAATGACTTGTGTTATTCATCTATTCAGTGTAGATAATCCCCTGTGTCTGTCTTTTGCCAAAAGCAGAGGAGGGCTACCACAGCGCTACACCGGATGGCGAGTAGCATTAGTGGGGATGTGCACACGAGAGGGGCTCCTCCTCGTGCAGATCTGTACCCGTGCGTGAAGCCCTAGGGTAGACATTCTGCTACGCCAGCAGAACCTTCAAAAGTAGACCTTGCACATGAAACACTGAACAGCTAGAATTGGACAGATCTGAACTTCAGTGTTGTGTTTTGTCGTAGTGTCTAGTAGCTAGTTTGCTCTAAATCTTTACCCATGGAGTTTCGCTGTCCGCAGAGGGAAGGTAGTGCTCCTGCTGGTACCAGGCAGGCCATCGTGGGCCTTGAAACATGGACCTGGGTGCTCTGTCAGACACTGCACTCTGCAGATACTATTAATGGGCATCTGTAAAGTGAAATGTTTCCTGATCTGCAGTTACAGCACTTCCTTTATGGTATCCCTGCAGCTGTGAATTCCTGTGTTTTCTTTGATACCTGTTGGAGTGCTTCAGGTACTGAAAATGTATGTTCTGTCTTTAAAGAACAAATGTAAACATCTGAACTGAAGCCTCAGCCCCTTGATTCCCTTTTTTAACCCTTATAAATGCACAGTCAGTGACATAGCTCTAAGGGTTTTTTATAAAGTGATAGCAATTGTGAGGATAGAATTTCATTAAACTTGTTTAAGACTTGACATCATCTGCTTTGCTGGTGCAGTATTTCTGGGCTGCAGGGCAAAATTCACTCTCTTTCCTCAGCAGGATTTTGGATGTTCCCTCTTGCTACCTCTCAGCTGCTCAGTTTGGGTAGTGAGGGATGCAGTGATCTCTGCTGCAAGGATTTGCCTGTCAGTAAGGGAGGCTGCAAGTACTTTTGTACAGTGTTTGTCTTCTGATCTGGGCACACTGGAGAGGGGTTTCTTTCTTCATTTTGTGGAGTCTGTGGCTCAGTTATTCACAGGGAGAGCCGAAAGGAGGATTTTCTTGTTAAAACACACATTGTGAGGTTCCACCCACCCATCACTTTTAGTTCAAAAAACACTCAAAACTTTCACCAAAGAGTCCACGTCTGGGTTGCGAAATTGTAGCAAAAGCCATAGACAGTGCTGTCCCAGAAGGAAAAATGAGAACACCACCAGGAAGCCAGAATCAGTCCCTGAGTTTTACTCAGGATTTGAAAGATGGGTTTGGATACTCCGCTTCTGTTACAAGATGACTTTGACCTTTTTTTTTACAGTTTTCCTAGTTTATGCTGGAATAAGCATGATTGTCTAGGAATGATGTGTACGTGTGGGGGTCAGCTGTATCTGCTCAGCTGCTAAAAAAGAAGCTGGAGTTGTGTGTGGCAGTGGTTATCATTTTTTCTTTCAGTAAGTAACAACTCTGCTTTCCAGGGATGCCTGAGCTGGACGAGTACACGATGGAAAGGGTCATAGAGGACTTTGAACAGCGATGCTATGATAACATGAATCACGCTATCGAGACGGAAGAAGGACTTGGGATTGAATATGATGAAGATGTTGTCTGTGACGTCTGTCAGTCTCCAGATGGAGAAGACGGCAACGAAATGGTGTTCTGTGACAAATGCAATATTTGTGTGCACCAGGTACGGCACCTGGGGCACAGTGCGGGGTTGTAGGGATGGTGACAGAAACTTTTCCAAACCATTAAAGATAACAGGTTGGATTTTTTCCAGTAGCAGACATTGATCTGTTAAGTTGTTGTAGAGTTCACTGTTGAGCAGTGGGATGCATTCAAGAAGTATGTAATTTAGAAGAACTGTGGCATGCAATTGTAGAAGTGTCATGCTAGGAGGGTTAAAAGTGGTATTGTGTAAGTGCGGAGGAAGTTACAAGGTGAGGAACTGCCTTCCCAAAACATACACATGTATTGTTGTATGTTCTCACCTGGTCACTTATCTTGCTGTGTTCTTTTCCTCTCTTTCTGCACACTTCTGGGGCCAACACACCTTTAGTATCAACAACTTAGGCTCAGCAGAGAAGGGGAAGAAAGAACTTTGAGGCAATCAGTAGGGACACAGGTAGGATTTATTAGTTAATTTAATGGAGAACCTACTGACCTGAGCTGAGCTAATGAAGCACTGTTAACGTGCCACCTTTTTGTGGCAGTTAAGAAGTCTTAGCAGGAAAGAACAGACAGAATTTTAGCATATCTGTTTCTGTGGATGCTTCTTACTGTGGCAGATGCCTTCCTATCAGCATGTCCTTCCTTCCCAGCTTTAAGAAGTTTGCTTTGTCATTCAGTGTTCAGAAACCTCTGTTGTCCAGTGAGCACGAATGGCATTTTCTTGCATGCATTTGTACTAATGATAAAGAAATAGGGCTATGACAGCTGTAAGGTACAGATGGCTGTCTTGCAAGATACTCAGAGTAAAGTGGACGTTTTTAGACCCATAGCAGGTCTCTAATCACATCAAATCTGAAACTTAAGAGGGTTAAAATTGACAGTAATTTGGACGGAGGTCTCCATAAAGATGCAATCTTCTGAAAAAAGTGATTTTAATTAGTTGCTGTTCTGCACTTTTCTCTCTGAATAAGTAAACCCCAGTGCTTTGGAATAACATTGAGTAGTGCACAGCAGAGCTCTTGAGTTTGTGGTTCTTGCTTCTTGAGTTAGTCAGTTGCCAGAAGTCTCAGCCTATTGGATACAGTCCAGTTCCTGTTACTTGCAGTCTTTGTGATACTGAACTTCATCCTAGCTCACCGCTGGCAGGGCTGTCTGTCGGGAGTCCTCTTGCTCTTTGGGCTGGCAAACACATTCTTCTTTTTCCCAATTGAAGTGGGCAGAGGTTTTTTGCTTAACAGCTGGTCATGACTTCTGCTCCTTTTCATTGAAAGATCATTTTGGGGAATGAATGGGTAATGTGGTTGGCTGAGTTTATGAAAGAGTCCTGAGATCCTCCACAAGCTAATGTTTCTGTAGTGTTAGAAATTCTGCAAAGAACATTTTGGGAGTTGTGAGAGGCTATGTGTAAGCAGCTAAAATGTAACAGAAGTGCATGTTATTTCCTTTGCTTTCTTTCCCTTTCCTGTAAATGGGAATACAGGCATGTTACGGGATCCTGAAGGTGCCGGAAGGCAGCTGGCTGTGCAGAACCTGTGCACTCGGTGTTCAGCCCAAGTGTTTGCTCTGTCCCAAGAAGGGTGGTGCCATGAAACCGACCCGGAGCGGCACCAAGTGGGTCCACGTTAGCTGTGCTCTGTGGATTCCAGAGGTAGGTGCTGGTCCTCCGGGAGTTTGGGGCTGCAGTGATTCTGGGAGAGAAGAAATCCGTCAGAAACACTGTTCAGCCTAGTGCGTGTTGCTACAGTGAGTGTAGCATCTATATGGTGGTACTTAGGGAGACAGTAGAAAAGATTTTTCAGTTGGATGCAAAGTCTGGCAGGATGAAGCGCCATCTGTAAAGAAAGTAATTACATTACCTTTGTCAACCAAAATTAGGCCTCAAAAATTAGGCCTCTGCTGCTGACAAAGCTTATTTAACAAGCACACAAAGTACTGTTTTATTTTGTAAACGGCACATTAAAGGTGAATCAGGAAGGTTTAGATGTGACAGTGAGAATTCCCGTGGGGTCTCATAATCAGAAGATTCAGCCTGCATGATAATTTTAAATTGGAGGGATTCACCTTGAAACTGATTTGTTCATGCAGTAAGGAACTGACTTTAAAAAAGAAATTTTGATTTTTTTAGTTCCTTATAAACTGAGGAACTTGGAACATGCTAATTTGGCATACGCACACAAGGAATTTGATGTGACCTTGACAGGCTGGAGAGATGGGCCCATGCAAACCTCATGAAGTTCAACAAGGTCAGGTGCAAGGTCCTGAATGTAGGTCAGGGCAATCTCAAGCACAAATACAGGCTGGGCCATGAGTGCACTGAGAGCAGCCCTGCGAAGGTCTTTGGGGTATTTGTGGATGGAAAACTGACTGTGAGCCAGCAATGTGCACTTGCAGCCCAGAAAGCCAACCACATCCTGGGCTGCATCCAGAGCAGTGTGGCCAGCAGGTTGAGGGAGGGGATTCTCCCCCTCTACTCTGCTCTTGTGAGACCCCACCTGCAGTGCTGTGTCCAGATCTGGGGCCCCCAGCAGAAGAAGGACATGGACCTGCTTGAGCAGGTCCAGAGGAGGCCATGAAGATGATCAGGGGCTGGAGCACCTCCCTTATGAGGACAGGCTGAGAGAGTTGGGGGTGTTCAGCCTGGAGAAGAGAAGGCTCTGGGGAGACCTTTTAGCAGCCTCCCAGTACTGAAAGGGGCTACAGGAAAGGTGGGGAGGGACTCTGCATCAGGGCGTGTAGGGATAAGATGGGGGGTGACGGTTTGTAACTGACAGAGGGTAGATTTAGATGAGATCTAAGGAAGAAATTCTTTACTGTGAGGGTGGAACACTGGAACAAGTTACCCAGAGCAGCTGTGGCTGCCCCTTCCCTGGCAGTGTTCCAGGCCTGGTTGGACGGGGCTTTGAGCAACCTGGGCTGGGGGAAGGTGTCCCCGCCTGTGGCAGGGGTGGAACTAGGCAGTCTTTAAGGTCCTTTCCAACCCACACTACTCTGATCTATTCAATAAAATTGTTTCTTTTTTCAATTCATGGTGTAATAGTAACTCTGTGTTTTTTAACCCTTTTTCTCTCAGGTGAGCATTGGAAGCCCAGAAAAAATGGAGCCCATTACAAAGGTTTCTCACATTCCCAGCAGTAGATGGGCACTGGTGTGCAGCCTTTGTAATGAAAAAGTTGGAGCTTCTATACAGGTAATTTAATCACACAGATACCTGTGTGTTTTGTTTTGTCAGTGTTTAGTAGATACACAAAATGTGTATCCTCAGTAAACTCTGATTTCCTGTTTGTTACTATGGACTTAATTGCACACAAAGTGCTTTTGAATGTTAGTGTGCTCTTACTTTCTAGTAAAATTTCAATAATAATAGCCAGATCATTCTATAAGATGTCCCGATTTGTTGATACGTTTATTAATACACTGAAATAAAACTTAAATGTGGTTGAGTAGAGGAAAAAATAACTGAAAGCTTCTGTGCTGAAACTTATCTGCTAGTCCCTCTTCAGTGACTTGTAAGACAAATTGGATATTTCAAGGGGAGTTGCGTATCTCCTGTAACAACCTGAGCCTGTCCAGCTCTCAGACAAGTCAGTGGAAGTGAACACCTTCACTTTGATGGTAAAGCTAGCTGTAGCTTTGAATTTCTCATTTTAGGTACTACTTAACATTGGCTTGTTCTGGCTGTAACTTTATTCTGTAACTGTTTTATTGTTGGTCTAGCTTTTAAGTTGCTGAGGAGAATATCTGATCATTTAATATTAGGCTTTTTGAGCAGTAGGAAAGAAACAGGTTGTTTGGTCTGCCCTGAGATCTGAGCAAGCCACAAGCTGAGGAAATGAGCCCCATTTCCCCCAGTGGTTGGGGGTAGATTCTGGAGTTCCCCGTGTTTCTAAGGGGAAAAAATCCACCTGGCTGTGAGTTTCCCAGCTCATGCTGCTGTAAAAGCAGTGCCACATTATCATTCTGCTTCTGGTACTCCCTTGAGCTCAGGGATGATGACTGCCTGGAACAGCAAGATGGGGCAGAATCAAAACAAATGTCTAGTCTTCATAGTTCCAAAAAGAATGATTTCCGTATGCAATAAATAATTAAATATAAAGCCAGCACTATAAAGCCATTTGTTTCATACCAACAACTCACATTCTTGGGCCAATGCCAGTTTGTCTCATTGCATACTTCTGAAATTCTCTCTGCAGTTTCAATTGGATTTGGATGCAGCCTTTCTCACCGTAGGCTGTGAATGGTCGCTGTTAAACAACTGAATTGATTTGCACCAGAGTGTTTCAGACTGGGCAGGGTGGTTTCATGTGCCTATTTATATTGGTTGTTAGCTCTAAAGCACTTGCGGATCCTTTACAGTGGAAAATCACTCAGAAATATTACATAATAATTCTCAGCACAATTTTAAAATTTAAGAGAGACTGAGAAAACACATTACAAAGCCCCAGATTTTTGGAAGAGCAGATACTCAGTTTCTGAGACACAAGACAAAACGTTGATCTACCTTACTGGAGAAGAGATGATGAGGGCAAGGACAGGTGACCCACTTGGAGCAGTGTTGTGATTGTGTAGAAAAAGACAATGAAGTGTGGCATAATATTCTGGTAACATTCTTCATCTACTTCAAAATGATCTTCAGAAAGCTCTTTGAGACAGGAAGATACTACTGTCTCATAAGAAGTTGAGCTCTTTGTTTTGTGGCTAGCCTAATGTTGCAGGATCCATGATGGTAAGAGCAGCATTAAGACACAGAAATTTCTGAAGTCCTACACTTTTTTGAAATTAGGTTTTATCCATTTCCATTTTTCCTCTGCTCTGAGTCATTTGATGAGGTTGCCAGAAAAAGTTGTAATCCAGCAATGCAGCAGTAGTTCCAGTGAAACCTATCAGTCCGTTTCCATTTAAGGCATGTATGAAATAGTCAATGTTAAGTAGAGAGAATAAATCTGTCCACAGCGCATAAATCTGCGTTGTAATACCTCCTTGCAGAGCTGTCCCCTTCCTCTTGGCCGCTGCTACACAGTTGTAACTGTTTTGTCCATTCTCCAGAGCTCTTCTGAGGGGTAACTTACAGCAGGTGAAGTTGAGCACTTGAGTATTTATGGAAGTTGGTGGAGAGGGAGGTGTCCTTCTGTGTTTCTTCTGATCCCACCTGTCCCCTTCTGGTGACGCACAGTTGACAGGCAGGCGTGATGGCTGGCACTTGAGGCAATTCTCTGTTTGAAATTATGGGGGAGACACAAAAAGATTACAGTTTTGCCTGACATTTTATAGGAGTTGTGTAAATCTTGGTATCATTTAAGCTAGCAGTGAGAAGTATTTAGATTTGTGTTGTGAGATTTTATACAGCAGAGAAGAACATTATACAAAGCCACTACAATAGAAAGGAAGTAGCATTAGCTGGAGGAACTGAGAGAGCGCACGATCCTCCACAGATGTTACGAGATGTGCACAACAATTAGGAAAGCCGGCAGCTGGGCAGAGAGCAGCTGCAATAAGCTGGGAAAACTGAGACTGCATATTCTCCCGGGTTCAGCAGCTTTCTTTCCAGTGAGACAGGCTTTCCCCTCTTCTCCCAGTAAAACATTAGCCACACTAAGAGCTGACTATGATGGCAGCTTAGAAGCTGTGGCTAAAGGACTCTCCTGCACTATTGGGACAGGTGCCCAGTGACTAAGAGAGGAAAGGGCAAAAGATGCTTTGGTATTTTTTAATTCCTTTTATATGCTGATTTTATTAAATAAGTTTCATTTGAAACTTGTGCAGTTTAAACTCTGTTGTACCTTTATACGCCATCTGGCTGCTGTAAGTCAACCTGAGCAGGAAAACCCAGAGGAGAAAGATATTTGGCTCCTTTACAAAGTACTGGACAAACATCCTAAGTGTGATGTGTTTCTCTTTAGGGTCAGATGACTTGGCTTAAGCATAGTTTTGTTTCTTCCTAGCTAACAGCACTAATGTTCATTTTCACTTTAAATTCTTTTCACTGGAGGCACAGGTGTGAGTTGCTACAAATGCATATGGGGGAGTGTGTGTATATACATATGTGTATATATATATATATACACACACATATTTAAACCTTTCAGTTTGTGGCTGGCAATAGCTATTGACAGCATTTTGCAAGAGAAAGTTGCATATAATTGAAATGGAAGTGCTAAATCAGCTGAACTTGTGCCCATCACACCGTGATGGCTGGGTTCACTGGGAGGGAAGAAAAATGACAAAAATTGGATTTCCTGTTCTCCTTATCCCCCAGGTGAAGTAAAGGCTGTAGTCAGTAAAGTTACGATTGACAGTGATTTGACATTTTAAAATCAGTGTAACAGGGAAAAAAACCATCCCCCTTGGTTGAGGCCTTTTGGGTAGCATGGGTCCAGGTACTGGGAATGACTTTTAATTAAAAGCACCAGACTGGCCTGGAGCCAGCGAGGTGTTTTTCCCTCTCTCTCATGCTGGCACAGCCGAAGGGGGAACGTTTTCCTTTGTGTGACGCAGCCTTACACAAGTGGCTCCAGTGAGGGTAAGAATACTCCCCTGGTGTCTTTGCTGCTTATTGAACAGCGTGATTGGGCGAGGGAGGGGTTAACCACTCCTGTCCCACTGGGCCACTTGATTGCTGCCTGGCCCAAAAGCACTAAACTGTAAACCTAATGAAAAGAGAGGAAGAAAGCACAGGCAGCTTAGAAACAGAGCACGGTTTCAGGGTTGTCCTTCCAAAGCTGTCCTGGCTGCTCAAATAGTTTTAGGCAGTGTGGCTTCTTAAATTTCTATTTGATTAATTTTAATTTAATTTCCGTAGTGTTCAGTGAAGAACTGCAGAACAGCCTTTCACGTCACCTGTGCATTTGACCGTGGCTTGGAGATGAAGACCATACTGGCAGAGAACGATGAGGTGAAATTTAAGTCCTACTGTCCCAAGCACAGCTCCTCCAAGAAAGCAGATGACGAGCCTGTCAGTGAAATCCCGGGCCAGGAGAATGGCAATGGGATTCAGGACAGCTCTCTTCCTGCCCACATCGATCCTTTCCACAGCATGGATCAAACCCAGGAGGAAGCCCACAGAGTCAGCCTCCGCAAGCAAAAGCTCCAGCAGCTGGAAGATGAGTTCTATACGTTTGTGGAGTCTCTGGAAGTGGCTAAAGCACAGCGGCTGCCTGAGGAGCCGGTGGGATTCCTTTACCAGTACTGGAAGCTGAAGAGAAAAGCCAACTTCAATAAGCCTTTGATTACCCCAAAGAAGGATGAAGAGGACAATCTGGCTAAACGGGAGCAGGATGTTCTGTTCAGAAGGTTGCAGCTCTTCACACACCTCCGGCAGGATCTCGAGCGGGTAAGCCACTGCGCTGCCGGCCTTGTGCGAGGGCCCCTGGCCTTGGTCAGCTGAGCTTCCAAGCGGCGTGCTTGGTTGTTGCCTTGGGCGCGGGCACTCCGTGCTGTGCCTTCACGCCCGGTTAACACTAAATTCCTATCAAGCACACCACTTTCTGTTTTCAAATAGAGGGTTGGTTCACAGGGCCAGCAGGTCTTGCCTTGTGGTATCCAGTCTCCTTATACTGGGTGGTTGTGTCTCTGCCTGTGCTTTTTGACTGGTTATCACTGATGGTTGTGGCCTGTACCGCAGCCCCCAGCTAGAGCATTTTTAGCCTTTCAGGGCTTTCTCTGCTGCTTTCCATCTGCTGCAGAAGAAGGAAAAAATGATGAAATTTACCTTGATTCACAGCAGATCTGTTTTTCCTTGACACAGCATTGGAAGATGACATTTCACAGGGCTATCGTGAAGGAGGTTTGGGAGACACGTGATATTCCACTCAGGGCTTGAACGTTTAAATTGCAGTTCAATGGGATCAGTTTGGTGGTGTATCTTAAGTACATCTGATCCTGTAAAGACCTGAATTCCTTCCTTTTTGGGTTAACTATTGGAGCTTTAAGATAGGTTAGAGCCAGAAGAGTACTGAAATTATTATAGTTTTTCACATCCTTACAGCACATGTAGGCCACGTATGGAACCCGGCTCAGGTCTTAGCTCAGCCTCAGTAACTTGTGGGTGAACTCAACCCTCTCTTCCAGGACAGTTAAGGGATCCTGGTGGCTAATTAATTTTCTCATGAATCGTAGTTTTTCTTATGACATTTTTTTCTAGTTCTACCTTCCAGCCCACAACCCTTCTCTAGCTGAGAGCTGTTACCTAGTATCTTGTTTCTGCTCTACGTGCTCAAGATTTCTTTTAACCGTCTCTTTGATCAGCTAAATAAGTTGAGTTTGTCCCTAGGTTCTCTGGATCTTAAATTGTTCTATATGTATCCTTTCTATTTTTAAGTGTGATGTCAAAACAGGGTAAATCATTCTAGTGATATTTTTAATATTTTACTACTCTGTTCCCACTGATTGTACATCCAGTGTAACTTGGATGAAAAAAAATGTAAAAAATGAGGCCTACACTTTTTTCTCCTCTTCAAGTTGGGTAGACTTGATTATGAATGACATTAGTGTCAGTGTGCAGGTTTAAGCCCTGCCGGGACCGGAGAGCACGTTGCCGTTGCTCCTCCCCCACGCGCAGCCGGGTCAGGCTGGAAGTTAAGCACAGACCCCGGGCTTAAATAAGAAGAAATTTAATACAACAGAGTGACAGAACAATCTGAGCAACAACAGTGGCAATAACAACAACAATAAACAGCAATAACAGTGAACAAGACAAACGATATACAGAGAAATACTGCTAGCTGGTTACGAAAAAAGGTTCCCGCCAAAGAGCCTGGTAAAAAGGTTCCGCCCCTGGACCTGATGCCAGCATGGTATGAATAACCCAGCTGGAGATCCCTTCCCCCTCTCTCTCTGCTGGGGAAACCTAACCCTATCCTAGCTGAACCAGGACAGTCGGCCATCTAGAAACAGATTTCAAAATCTGTCATCCAGTACCCCTGATGGAACAAGTACTTGTGGACGTGACACACTTGTTGCACAGCTTGGGTCAGACAAGGCCAAGGACTGGATCAGGAGGGGTACCAGGTGGGACTTGTCTCTTCCGATGCCAGTCCACGGAGTAATGAGAGCTCCTTGGAAGCACTGGCTGTGCCAGGACTGGAAGCCTTATGTAGAGCAGAGCCTTGGCAAAACCCATCACACATCTCCTCCTTCATGGCAGCGGGAGCAGCCTACAGGGCGGGAGCCTGCAGCTGTACCCAACTGAGCACAGAGCCTTGGAGCATCCACCTCCACTGCTCAGCCGTCCCCTCCTCTGGGGAAGAACTTGCTTCTGAGCTCTTGAGAGTGATGGTTGTGAAGCTTACACAGCTGTGGTCTTGATTAGACAGTCATTTTAAGGGCAGAGATGTAGTTTTTGTTTAAGAAAACCTGAGACAGTAAAAATAATCCTTTTGTTACTGTTCCCAGTCCCTGCCACCTCCATTGTGCCATGGCAGCAGTAGACCAGCCTGCCTACATTTTGATCACTCGTACTGCAGTGGCGTCAGAAAGACTGGTACTGGGGAATAGCTCTGCACATTTTCACACTATTAAATATAATTTTCTGTTGTGTCTCAAACAATAAGCAACAAATGGTGTTAGGCTATTTAATACTGAGTAGATTTAAGTTCTTCCAGCATTCCTCTAGATTTCCTATACCTATACACATATATATATATATATATATATATATATATATACACACACACATATATATATATACACATATACACACACATATATATATATATGTGTGTGTGTTTCAAACTTTTATAGACGTTACTTCTGTGCTGTGCCCTTCCCAAATCTGATGGAATAATCTGTCAATTAAATGGTGTTTAAGACTCTTCCAAGAAGTGTGTTAAGAATGTTAAATTTAAATACATTACTAATGTGTTTAAATGGTGTATAGTACTTAAACTGAATTAAGAGTACAGATTGACAACATCACAGAAATGCAATTGCTGTGCAACTCATCAACTTGATGTATTCTAGGTGCGTAATCTCACTTACATGGTGACCCGAAGGGAAAAAATCAAGAGATCTGCTTGCAAAGTTCAAGAACAGATATTTAATATCTACACAAAGCAGCTGGAACAAGAAAGAGTTTCAGGTATGTTTCAGTGTTCCCTTTTTCACATAAGACTGCAGGCACAGGCTGCTGCCTGGTTTTTGAAGGACAAACAGGACCTCGTTTATTCTCATTAAAATCTTGTGTAGTCCACCATGCATCAGCAGATAGGAAGGAAAAATGAGGATGTGTTGCTGCAAGGGTGGGCACATTGCTACAGAAATTGGTAAGTCTGTGTTCTTACGGCAGGGCACTGAGGGGCTCACTGCATCAGGTCCTGTATGGGGGGAGTTGTGAGTGGCTCCTTACAACAGAGAAACCATGGTACAGAGCCAGGTGCCATGTGGTACCGAGTCAGTTGGTGGCTTATTAGCACCACTGCGTTAGTGAGGGTATGTGCTGCTTTGCATCATAGATGCAGTTTAAAGAAAGGAATTTTGGAAAGGCAGCACTCACATCTTTTTCTGCCTGAGCTCACTGACAGCAGCCTTTCTCAGAAGGATGAATAACTTCAAGGTTACTGCATTAACTAGATTATCCTTAGAGTATCTGGTAACTAATAAACTGTATTTTAGACAGAATCAATCATCCACCTGCTGGTTGCTTTCCTCCCCCACCCCCCATCTGAGGAGTCTCTCTGTCTTAGTGGATAGAGTAGCACTAGGAATTATATTTGCTACAGGAAGGGAAACTACACCCAGCAGTAGGTTGTGAAACCATGACATAGCCACATTAATTGTGACATAAAGGTGCTGGATAGGCAACCTAATACCCATTTTGGCCAAAGAACATGTCAGGTATGAGGAACAGAGATCAAGTAGGTACTTTCAAAAGTGGTATTTACCCAGACATGGAATTGCTTGATTTTAACTCAGTCTGTTTACACGTAGGTGTGCCTTCCTCATTCTCCTCAATGGAAAACACGGTGTTGTTCAACAGTCCCTCTTTGGGCCCCAATGCCCCTAAGATAGAGGACTTGAAATGGCATTCTGCGTTCTTCAGGAAACAAATGGGCATGTCTCTAACCCACTCCTTGAAAAAACCACACAAGAGAGACAGAGTAAGAAACAGCTCTGGGAATGACAGCAAATCTGTGCTGGGGCAGCCCAGCCAAAGGGAGGGCGGTACAGCGCCAGGTGGCTTTTTAAATCTTGACAAGACCTTTGCAGAAACACGGATTGTATCAGCACAGCAGAAAAATGGCATAGTGATACCTGACCACAGAAAAAGAAGAGACAATCGTCCACAGGGTGAGGTGATCAAGGCCGAACTAAAGGAAAAGACTTCTAAACACAACCACAAACCACTGAGACCCACAGAACTCTCTCAGAGGCAATCGGAAAACAAAAGGGCTGTGAACCACTCCAGTGGTAGGTCAGCACCTGGCACGCGGAGGGATTTAGTGCCTAAATGCAATGGGGGTCTTGTCAAAGTAAACTCTAATCAGACAGTAGTTAAAGTGCCTACGACACCCACAAGCCCAGTGAAAAACTGGGGCGGATTCCGAATTCCAAAGAAGGGGGAGAGGCAACAGCAGGGTGAGAGCCCGGAGGAGACCTGCCGCCAGAACTCCAGCTACCCCTACCTGGGCGTGGGCAGAGTTTCACCGAAGGACAGGGCAAAAAGCAAGCTGAAGCCTGACAGTGAGAACGATGGCTACATCCCTGATGCCGAAATGAGCGACTCGGAGACTGAAGTGGCTGAAAAAAAGTGCAGGCAGCAGCGGCTCAGTCCAACCAGCACTATCAGCAGAAGGACGGACATTATTAGGAGAAGCATCCTAGCATCCTGACTGGACACTGAGTAGAGTCACTGCCTACAGGCCAACTCCGCATTATTTATTGGTGTGAGAGAGGAGAGTTCTTGGACGTGGCTACAGACTGACAAATTGAGAACCCCGTTATTCCTGAGCTGTATAAACATGTTTACATGCACTTAAAGCTGGTTTTTTTTTTGTTTTGTTTTGGTTTTTTGCGCACCCCCCCCCCCC